TTTAACTAAACAATCATGTATTTATATTTTATAATGCTTATTAAAACCTAAGTTTATGGAGAAATTAAAACCCTCTTATATCTTCTGCAAGAATATATATCATATAGGATTATGTTCACTTTAATGTCATTTTGATGGTATCTTGAAATATATTTAATATTGTGAGTTTTTGGAGAAATATATGTTTGCAGAAAAGATTTTAAACACATAACAAAACAAGTAAGGTTCATCGACGTTAAAAGTCGATTCCCTGGGCCCTAGACTGAGCAAATGAGGCAACTGCTAGTACATTGCAGTACCAAACATTTTCATTCAAATTCTCACTATGGAGAAGAATGTTCCACTTGATTCGAGTGACATTAGCAAGATGAGATGAAGTAAAAGGATTCGGCGAAAAAAAGCGATGGGAATAAAACTAACAGATAATACAATCTTTTAATCACTGGAGACATTCTCTTACACCACTTGTTTTAATGACATAGTTGCTTATAGTTGCGTGTATTCACTTTTAAAACGCGCAACTAGAAATATTTCGCTTATTCGATTGACATCAGATTCATACATGTTCTTTTATTTACCATCACGAACACCAGGGATAAGACACAGGCAGAGTAGAAGGTGTACGACAAACGTGTTTTAAGGCATTTGGCTCCACATTACCTGGAAAGAATCCACCGAATCAAAAACAAAAAGCGTGTCTTACTGACTGCTACTAGATATTCAGCTGTTTATTAAAGCCAAATATGTCTGCTCATATGTTGCCGATCATCAAGTCTGACATTTGAACTTTCATTATTGCCACCATTTACAAGTTTTTCATGTCCGAGCACGGCTCAAATTTTCTAATATTCGAAATAAATTACTCATGTCACCGTCTTAAATACTCTTTCATTGTTCGTTCTACTTATTGCATCCTATCTGACATTATACTATTTGTACCTAAAAACCATTAGGATAGCATCTTGTAAAGATATATTTCGAAATGTTTCTTTATCTTGATGGTACTACATAACCTTTTACTATGCTCTACTGCTCACAATTTAAACACTACGATGTCTCTTTTCCCAGCCTGGGCGTCATGTGTGACAAAATCACCTTTCTCCACTGCTGAAAAACCTTTCAAACGCCGTGATACACACATCCTCATATTTTTTACTGTTCTCCATAAACTTCACATTGAGAACTCAAACTCAATGAAGCAGAACGGCTTTTTACATCACTTCCGTGTCTTCCATACATGCACGGGAAAACGGTATTTTCCATTTTTGCCGAAAGTGAATTTCGCCGAAGAAAATTTTCCTGTTCTTTTTCATCGAATATTATATATATCGGCGAAAAAGAACAGGAAAATTTTCTTCGGCGAAATTCACTTTCGGCGAAAATGGACTAAACCGCGAAAACGATCTCATTGTTTACAGTAAAACAGTTCTTGGTCAGTAGACTCGTAATTTGCGTGAAAAAAGCTTTTTTGCCTTATAAATGACCATTTGAGCCGTGGAGATGATCATTTGTGCCATGGAAATGGACATTTGTCCCATATAAATGGTCATTTGTGCCATAAAAATGGTACTTTGTGCCATACAAATGGTCATTTATGCCATGGAAATGGTCATTGGTACCATAAAAATGGTCATTTTTGCCAAGCGCTTGTTACAGACAGACAGACAGACAGACGGACAAACAGACACAGGTGAATTACGGTTTCTAGACCCTATCCTTTCAGTCTAGGGAACAACATATATCTGAATTAATTGGTTTAGTTGTTTTTGAAATATCAATTAAATTTAGTATTATTGAAGATAATTTAGAATTCTTCCAATATACTTTTAATATCGGTAAATGGTTCATGATTTAAATAAACTTCATCTTGTTCGTCAAGTACAGGATTATGACGTAGTACAAGAACAATGTTTTGGATATTTATATTAAAATTGTTCCTGTTTCTTGATCGAGATACGTAAAAGATGGTGCCTGGAAATGGTGGTTCATAGTATTGTACTTGTATTTCCTGAGTTAAATGATTGATCAGTTTCGTTTAAGATAAAAGAAACTCGCCATTATTATTGATAATAACAAACGTGCCAAAATGAAGTTCATTTAATGTTTGTACTTGTTGAATTGATGACTCAGACTTGTCCTTGTCTGTGTAGATGAATGTCATATAATCGATTGAATTTGATGTACGTTGGCAGACGAGTGTACGATCAGGTCGAACGTTGAATTGATGAAAAGAACGTATATGTTTGATACGATCTAAAAAAAGCTCGTTTGATATACATTTTTAATTACATTCTTACGGGTTTTAATTAATTTTTCCCAACGAGGTTTGAGAATTTCACTATAAATACGTTCAACTGTGGACGAATTAACATAAAAAGCATAGATTGGTGGTTCATTAGTTGTGGACACTTTTGCTGCATTATGATTAAAACCCATTGTAAATTCATAAAATTGTTCTGCAGAACAAATCAAAGCTCCTGATGTTGTTATTGATCGTGTGGCAGTATATTTGACTGAAGCACCGAGTCCATCGCATGGACCCTTGCCATGAGCAGTACTGCTAAATGTCCAACATGCTTCAAGTCCAAAATCATCTTTATGATGAGTTAAATTAAAAATGTTAAAACTGTTCTTGAAGTGGCTCGATGTTCCATCACTTATAAAGAAATAATGAAACATTAGTCGAAGTATTTTTTTAACAACTAACCTTAAATAATTTATTTTTTTTACTAACGGAAAATTTATTTTGATGAAGTCAACAATCAAGCCTTGTGCGACATAGACAAAAGCTGTATCATGTGACATATAGTCACTTAGAATCACAACATTTTTATTGATTGATCCAGCCTTTAAATGAGCAGTAAAGATTGTGATCTGTTTATTATTCCAATGGTACCCTTGTACTTCTCGTTGATGAAAAATGGTAAAATTTCCTGCAAAATCTATTTGTGCAACAATATATGTACTATCACTGGAATTTAATCGAAGATTTTTTATATATTCTTTTGTTCTGTTGTGAAATATGAACGCAAAAGAAACATTGTCCAATGAGAATCTATCTCATCAAGAAGTAAATCATAAGAACCATTCGTGTAGAGAAGGTCAACTTTGTTATTTAATGTTTTCCATTGTGACCAAGAAGCATTTTCATCATGATTAATATTATTATTTTCTCTAAGAACATCTGATGGATTAATCATACCACACAAGTCACATTGTCGAGTGAAGCAATTTTCAGTTGGAATACCGCATACAATTCGACTAATTAAATATTTATCGGTGATTACTTCAAAACCACCATTTTGTTCAAGTGAATTCATCTTCATATATATATTCAAACCCTAAATAAGAATTTACAAACATAGAGCATAAATGTTTTACACCGACTTTCAATAGTAAATCCATATTCTCGTGATATATACATAAACATGTATCTAATGGTAGAATACATTTAACTTCACGAGGTCGTAAAGCATAAAATGAGGATTTACCAATATTAACAGCAGGATTTTGAAGAATAAATACTTGATATGCTTCACGTATTGTAATTTCCATAAAACGAACCGATACAGGTAATTTATTAATATGAATAATATCTTTTTTTCGTGGCGATGCTCGACTAATACCATCTTGTAAATAAAATTCTTTTACTAAATTAATTGTATCGTCGGTTAAATGTTTATTTCCATAAAAATACTCAGGAAATGTAAGTAAACCTTTAGTTTTTTTTAATAATAATGCCTGTCGAGCTTGATAATCCGTACAGTCGAACCATTTTCGTATCATTTTACGACCCCAACTATCTGGAGAAATTGTTAATAAACGAATTTTCTTCAACATCAGTACTCTCTTGAAATAAAGCTTTTAATCCGGATAATAGTGTATTTGAATCTTTTATTGAAAGATGGTGGGTGATTAATTCATCTTCAGGTTCCAGAAGCATATCACAAAATGTATAAAGAACAGAACAAGCATTGTCAATCTTTTGTCGATTGTTCTTGATTCGACGACTACTCAAAAAGAAAAATTATGAAAAAAAAATTCGAGACTTACATATCACGAATAGTTGGAATATTTAATAATTTAAATATAATATTTAATTTTCTTCTAACTTCTTCTCTTTTGTGTTTTTGTTCTTGTGAAGAAGGTAACTCTTCGTTGTTATGATTAACTTGTCCATAACCATTTTCATTAACAATTTCTTCAGGATCATTATCATCATAATCAATCCATTCTGCTTCATCAACACTCATAGGTTCAATAACATTCGTTTCATTATTATCATATTCAAATCGTTCTTTCGATATTTTTCTCAAACAACTAGTACAAATTTTATCACCATCATCAATCTTTTTTAATGTACTTTCTGTAATTAATGAATATTGCCTATTTATATGCGCTGCAGTAGCAGCATCTATTCTATGTATTCCACAAGGATGAGTAGGATTTCGTCCACTCTTTACGAACTTCTTTTTTCCTGTGGTTGGATCGATTATGTTATGGCACGGATGAGCGCACCAACTTTTTCCAAAGTTCGGCATAACAACAATATACAATAATTTGAATAATTAAAAAATACACTGCAATACCGATAACGGTCTTAATTATAATTAGATTTGTTTAAATTATATCCAGTCGGATATGTACATTTTCTTTGATCGCAAATAATGCAGTAGATGCATAATTTGCATGTGAATTAAATAAAATCATTCTGAGCACTGTCATTTTATTTCAACAATTGTATCTTTTTAACAAATTCGAACAAGTTATCTGATATTACAAGCCACTGCGATTGTCGCTATAATCACTCTATTTGTTCTGTATATAGGATGTAGATAATTCTAACCTGAACTAATTTGAAATCACGAAACAACAACTAAGAAAGTCCTTCACTCGTAACTAACATAGTATTCACATATCATATTCGTACTATGATTTATGCAGCTAGTTCCAGATATGCATAAGAACTCCTTTTTTTATCTAAGAAATTACAATTCAAAGAGAGCATCTTTGTATTGATAGATCCAATATTGGGCTATGAGTGTATATATATCTCAAAATAAATATAGATCCTATCGTTTCAAAAACAAATAATAATATATGCAAAAACTCACAATATTAAATATATTTCAAGATACCATCAAAATGACATTAAAGTGAACATAATCCTATATGATATATATTCTTGCAGAAGATATAAGAGGGTTTTAATTTCTCCATAAACTTAGGTTTTAATAAGCATTATAAAATATAAATACATGATTGTTTAGTTAAAATTATAAATCCTTTTGATCAGGAATTTTTCCAACTTATTTATTATCATANACCGTTGTAAATGGTCATTTTCTTTGTTCTCCAATTCTACGATCGAGGGCAGCTGACGAGTACGGGAGATAGCCAAAGAAAAAAGACGTCCAATAGTTCTCTTTCTTTTTGTCAATCACATTTTTTTTAATGATCCCCAATATTCTGTTACGTGCCGCTATCATCGTCCAAAGCAGTAGGATTGGTAAAGAAAATGACCATTTACAACGGTCGTCTGCTATTTTCATTTTTTCTTTATTCACATATATTTAATAGTAACTTCTTGATTTATTACGCGACTATAGTCAAGTGCAAATTTTCTGTAAGAGGTGATTATAACAGGAAATTTATTTCCAATATGTTGAAGAATTATGTTTATTCAACATATTTCTACAGATCGTAGACAGATTATTTTAATTCTAAGACGACAGTTTGAAAAGAGTATAATATAGGGAACTGCAAAATCACTTTTTTTAGTCCCGGTCCCGGTCCGGCCCCGGTCCGATATTTTTTTAGTCCCGGTCCCGGTCTTTGATATTGGCTTCATTCCTAAAATTGAACAATTTTTTTACGATCTATGCACTTTTATGAATACATCAAATTGACATGAATGATTTTGATTCGTTAACAGTACGAGAATTATTTTCATATCCAGTGTTAAAGTGAAAGAATTTCATTGAAAACTCGAAAACATAAAAATAACCATTGAATTTTGTTAAAAATTCTCATGTACTTCGTAGCAGTCATTTACTCATTGCTCTCTTCTTTTATATCTACTGCTCTAGCTAATGGATTTATTATTGAATCGATTATTTATACTGAGTCGCTATTACTATTGTCAAAAAAATAAAATAAATGGCGACACATTGCATAAAAAACTGACCGGGACCAGTATGAAAAATTTTTAGTCGCGGTCTCGGTCCCGCAAAAAAGTCAAATTTTGGTCCCGGTCTCGGTCCCGCAAAAAAGTCAAATTTTGGTCCCGGTCCCGGTTCCGGTTCCGGCGGGACCGGGACCACTTTGCAGTTCCCTATTATAATATGTATTAGTGAATATCCCGGTTTTATAAACACAAGTTTAGTCTAGTCAAATCGAATCGAATCGAGTCGTTTTTTTTTCGTGTTTTAGGCGAATCGAGTCGAATTGTTTTTTTTAAAAATCTGGTCGAATCGAATCGAATCGAATGGCATTTTTGTCATTCGTTTCGGTCTCTGTTCGGTATACTTTGTTTTGGTGAATGCGTCCGTTTTCTATTGTCTCTTCTTTCTTTCATAGAAAGGAATATCCAGAAACTTCGTCCTGTAAAATTAATTAGTTTTTGATTCCGTCCTTTTCTATTTATCGAAAGGAATATGAAGAAACTTTGTTTTCTATAATGAATTAGTATTGGATTGTTTCTTTTACTTTTATCGACAGCAATATGAAGAAACTTAGTTTCCATAATGAATTACTTTCGTTGGTTTTTCCTTATGTGGACTGATGAATATGAGATGTCTCTGGTGTTTAAGCGTTAGTTTTATAAGATTCTTCTGCTTTCATTCGAGTTGAATGTGGTGGAAAAAATTCTAATCCACTCAATATAATCGTGTCTGATTATATCAGTGGCTGTTGGGTAGCTATCAGTTTGTTGAATTCTGATCGGTTCGGATTCGATTCACAAAGAAATGGAATTCATTGGTAGATCGATTTCGAATCGATGAATAATCGGTGAAAATTGTACATCTTTTAATCGATTCTTAATGAGTTAAAAGGTAATTAACATCAAATTTAATCAATTTTAATCGGTTAATTGCGGCATAATCATAATTTTTGATTATAATCAATGCAGTATGATTTTGCAGGATATTTAATCAGGGATTAATCGATGAAAAGGTGTATAATTTTAATCGATTTTTCATCAAAGTTTTTATCGATTAAAATCTGATTCTTTTCGCCTTTTTTTTTACATGGGTGGGACTTTCGCCATTGGAAGAAGTCCATTGTACTTTTGCCAATACATTTAATGGAGCTTCGCCAACTGGCAACAGTCCACTAGCTTTCAGCAATTTCATTGTAAATTAGACGTAGACTAGAAAACTTTTTCTCACCTACATCGATAAGTGTCAACTATGATATATATATACTCTAGTAACATTAACTTCAGGGCTGGCATATATCCTTTATTATTATTGTTGTGTAAGCTCTGAGATAGTCCATCTCACTTTCGCCATACATTCCCTGAAATTTAACCAATTGATGAAAGTCCACTTTACTTTCGCCATTGACGAATGTCTTATTGGCGAAAGGCTTATTGGCGAATATCCCGCTGCCCATTTAAATAGTTAGATAGATTCACTGATGCTCTCTCGTCTGATAGATGACTCTAAAGGATCATTCCGTATTCTTGTTCTCAACATATCTATTCGATATTCCCCTCCAATTAATTTGAGTCTGAAGAATTATATACCACGAAAGGACAATAATTAGTCATTTTATTGAAACCGTAGGTTTATCTACCCTAAGGAAGTGAACAGATATTCTTCTGTCTGTACTCAAATACGCTTTATCCTTTTCATTCAAAGATTGAAAAGCAAACTCTTGACCGTAGAAAAAAAATCCATTTCTATAGAAAGGAAGAACAATAAGCCCTTTCTATGGAAAGGTAAAACAATAAGCCCTTTCTATGGAAAGATAGAATAATAAACGCTTGACCGTGGAATAATAAACCATTTTTTATTAGCCATAAACTCTTTTTATTTTCATACACACTTTGGCTTATACACCTCTTTGCTGAAAAACCCATTAAGCGTTCAGTACAATAGTAAAAACCCTTTAAGGTTTTAGGAAAACTCTCCTAAAGAGGTAGGATTTAGTATTCTACGTTTTTTTAAGTGTAGTGAACATAAATTATTAATCAAAAACTGTTAATCTAATATTGAAGTAGAAAATAATTGTAATGCAGTTTAGTAGACTTCGTGTGTAACAGAGATAAGGTACAGTAGAGTAGAACTGCCCACTGAAAAATATTCATTGAGTGGGATACAAATGGAGTACAGAGTGAGTCTCTGTTAATGGCACTCTGTAAGACAATGTGTTTCCATTTCATATATGCACTTTACATCCATACTCACCCTCAAATAACCAATTCTGGGGAGCAGCAGTACATAGTGGGCTATTAAAAGAGCTTCAGGCTCGTGTAAGATTGAAACAAATTCATGGTTATCAATGTTCAGGCTTTTTACATGCCCAACCATGATCAGGCGAAGATGGCATATCGTACCTTGTATATCTTTCATAACTAGTGTAATTTTATGTTCGTTCTGTTACACTATTCCCGAGTCACGAAAGCTCTCCTCATCATTGCAAATGGTCTATGAAACCGATGTAATTAGATTCATGAACGTTAGCTGGGCGCAACGACGTATTCCTCGCTTCATTCATCAAGTCTGGTCTTCACACAATATGCCGTCAGAATGGAATAAAACAATTTTGTCTGTTATTGAGAAAAATCTTGGTGATTTCCAGCATAATCGCTGGACAGACCAAGAAAGGCACTTCTTTGTACGCGAACACGAACCTCAATTTTATAATTCCATTTACATCACATATCCACAAGAAAATGAACGTATCGAATCATTTCGCTACGTAGTACTTTATCACTTGGGGGGCATCTATATTAATCTGAATATTGGATGCAAACGCTCGTTGAGTGATTTAATAGCTACTTTGGAAGCGCTTGATCCAGACGCACCACATTTGGCAGCTTTTCGTGCAAATGATCGATTCACTGTTAATACTGATCTTTCGTTAAGCACTGCTGGCCATCCTTTATTTAAACAGCTTATTTCTCGCCTAATTTTCTTAAGCCACTATCCTTCATTCTACTCTTATACAACGCTGTTTGGTGAACACCCTGTATATGCCGCAATATATGGGCTAATTTTCAACTCTCTACCAGAAAAAGAAGTTGTGCGGGTATTGGACAGTAATCTTTTCAATCTGTTCTTCTCCATCAAAGTTTAATAACCAATGAAAAATTCTCTCCACATCTAAATATTTCTTGATATTATTCGTGACTCAGGGTGTGGGTCTGGGTGGCTGTGGGTTGTGGGTGTGTGGATGTGGCTGTTGCTGTGAGTGCGGGTGTAGATGTCGGTGGAGTGTGGCTATGGGTGTCGGCGTGAGTGTGGGTGTGGATGTGGGTGTGGATGCGAGTGCGGGTGGTGGATGTGGGGTGTGGGTGTGTGTGAGTGTAGGT